GATTGTAAAATTAATGATATTTCTCTTTCTTTTATGTGTGTATACAGGCTACACAGTTCTTCAGTTAATGTATTTCTTAATGAATTCAATAATTTGCTTTTAAATATAAATTCTTCTAATTTGATAATTGTTCGTGACTTCAATTTAGACTCTTTAAGCAATACAGAAAATGTTGATTATTATCTTTCAATTTTAGCCGATAACGGACTGTTTTCTTTTGTTAATTAACCTACTAGAATTAGTTCTGGGTCTTGTTTAGATCATATTCATGCTCGTTTTGGTGTTATTCCTTTGGAGTCATGTGAAAAGGGTGTGTTTAATTTTGAAATTACAGATCACTGCATGACTGGACTACTTGTTAAGTCTTTAAAGGTTGATAAAGCAAATAATACTCCTATTACTGCTTCCATTACAAAAATAGATTATAATAGACTAAATAACATGCTTCTGTTTGAATTTTGGGATGCTGTTTACAATGAATCAAATGCTAGTTCGGCATACAATAAATTCATTGAGATTTTAAGCAGCTATATTTCCCAATGTACATTTAGCGTTAGACCAAGTATGAAAAATAAAAAGTTAAAACCTTGAATGAATGATGTCTTGTTGAGAAAAGTGAAATTGAAAAACAAATTAAGAGTTAAGTTATATAAGCACCATTCTAATGTGAAATTGAAAAAGCGCTATAATAAGCTGTGCAAGGTAATTAAGAAAGATACTGCGGAATGCCGTGATAGATTTTATCATAATGAATTTGTCAGATGTAATGGTGACATAAAGAACGAGTGGAGGCTAGTTAATAACTTGCTCAACAAGAACTCGAGTAATAATAAGAAATTGGAATTGATGAATAATGGACTATTGTTAACAGATGAGTTTATAATTGCTAATGAGTTCAATAATCATTTTTCTTCAGTTGCTGTAAAATTGTCTTCTGGTCTGGGTTCTAATAATGATTACAGTACAATGGAAGTAAATAGTGTGCGTAACAGCTTCGATAGCTTTTCCGCTCTTGAGCTTCTCCAAATTATCTGGTCTTCTAAGTAATTCAAACTCTGTAGGGATTGATAATATTTTCAATAAATTGTTGAAGGAAATTGCTTTTAATATTATAGATGCTCTAGCTAATATTTTCAATTTTAGTGTTCTTTCGGGCGTTTTTCCTGACCAGTTAAAATCTGCGGTTGCAATTCCACTCTTCAAAAAAGGCGATAAATCTGTCACAAATAATTACAGGCCTATTTCCTTACTTCCTACAATTTCTAAAATTTTTGAAAAAGCCATAAAAGTTAGAACTTTAAAATACTTAAATGAATTGAACTTTTTTAGTTCGAAACAGTTTGGCTTTAAAAAAGGTGTATCAACTGAAGATGCGTTATTAAATTTTTGCTCGTTTATAAATGAAGGCCTAGATAACAAGCGAAATTGTGCAGGTCTGTTTGTTGATGTGACTAAGGCTTTTGACATGGTGAATCATGAAATTCTTTTGAATAAATTATTTGCGCTAGGTTTTCGTGGTTTTATGTTTGATTGGTTTAAGTCTTACTTGGAATGTAGAACACAAAGAGTCAAAATTGGTAGCCAACTAAGTAGTATTCAGTATATTAGGTTGGGAGTTCCACAAGGATCAGTTATGGGACCTATACTATTTCTTATATATATAAATTCACTGTTTGATTTGGAATTTGAGGGTAATGTAACAGCTTTTGCAGATGATCTTGCTATTTCTTATTCTGTCAATAGTCCACTTAATTTAACGTGAGCGATCAACAAAGATCTTAGTTTATTAAGATATTGGTTCTTTCGACATAGGCTTATTGTAAGTGATAAAACTAAATTGATGTTTTTTAATCTTACACAGAAGGAATTTGTTGATATCAATCTTGTTTTTCATTCATCTAGTTGCAAAAATGTTTTTATGAATACGTATAGCTGTACTGATCATAATGATGGAAGTACACATTCTGCTAATTGTAACTCCGAGTGTTTCTCAGTAGAAGTAGTCGATCAATTCAAATATTTAGGTGTATTTATTGATAGTATGTTAAATTGCACACAAACGCTCTAAAATCTTATTTGCGCTCTACTTTGCGTAATTTTTATCGTTTGAGTAAAATGTGTTCTCAAAAAATTCTACTGATGCTTTATTATGGCATTTTTCATTCTAAGTTACAATATGGCATAAGTTGTTGGGGTGGTACTTATAAAAATAAAATATATCCACTATTGATTTTGCAAAAATATGTTATTAGAAAAATTTGCAACCGGCATCGTTTATATCACAGTATGGATTAATTAATTCAGAAATCTAAAAATTCTTCCAGTTAGACAACTTTACTATTACAGGGTTTTAAAGTTTTTTAATTAAGAGGCGGTTATTTAAACAGTAGAGCTTCAAATCGTTATGGTTTACGTATTAATCAGAGATTTCTAGTTAATGTTCCAGTTTTTAGAACTACAAATTACCGAAACTTTTTTGACATAACTTCTGTTCGCTTGTTTAATAAACTTCCTGAACATATACGTGCTATTAGGAATTTAAACAATTTTGTTAAAATTGTAAAAAAATGGCTTTTAAATTTTGAGCATGGTGAGGTAGATAATTTGTTAAATAGTCTAGTTTGATATTATAAGTATAATATGGATATGTATAATATAAATAAAATATAGATTTAAAAAATTCTTTAAGTTAATTATTTTTTAGTTCAGTAAAGGTAAATTGAAACAAATAATTGTGGAAAATAAAAAAAAAAATTTTTTTTTCTAGTAATTAAAGCATTAAGTAATTGTAGATTTAAGTAACAACACTGTTAATTAAATTATTGTAGCATTTACACTATTTTATTGTTAAATAATAATGCCATATTTCTTATTCTCTTAATTTAAGCAAATTTCGTAAAACTATAGAGAATAAAGTGTAAATAAATAAATAAATAAATAAAATAATTATGATTTTGATTCAGATCACTCTGCTGCCATATTAAAACTAAGTGAAAAAATAATTAGAAAATTATTCAAACCCACTTTGACAAATAGCACTACGGATTGGACGAGCTTTAAATACGAAATAATAAACAATATTGATGTAAACATTGGAACATTTGATGAAAATCATGAATGCAGCTATAGATTTTGGTTATATTACTTGGGCTTGGAAAGTCGCAGACGTAATTATAGTGCCCAAACCCGGGAAAACTTTGAGGGAAACAAAGTCTAATAGGCCCATTTCACTGTTACCAATGATATCTAAGTTTTTTAAAAGCTGCTATTAAGGAGGTGGATGCCAATAATAGAAAATAGGGGCCTCATACCAAACCATGAATTTGGTTTTAGGAAAAACCATTCTACAATAGATTATTTAGAATTAAACAAGACGCTGAATACGCCAAGCTAAGAACAACACTTAGTAACTTTGCTCACGATACTGCAATATTGGCAGTAGGATCGAACATTGACGATTTTACAAAAAAATTACAGGAGGCAAGTTACAAAATAAGTCAGTGAACTAAAGATTGGAAAATGAAGTTGAATGAAGCAAAATCGGTTCACATAAACTTCAACAGTCGAAAAATAGTGAATTCAGCCCAAATTAACTTAAATGGAACAAAGGCAGCAATCCATAACTCAGCAAAATACCTAGGAATGATGTTAGACGTCAAGCTAAGGTGGAAAGAGCATATAAAGAAGAAACACATAGAATTAGAAAATAAATAAAAACAAAATAGTTAGCTCATCGGTCGTAAGTCCAATTTGGCAACTGATAATAAGATATTGATTTACAGGCAAATCATTAAACTAATATGGCATTCAACTGTGGCATAGGGCTCGTCTAGAACAGCATGTAAATATGGAAGCAGCTCGGTTGCTAGACAATGGCGTTATGACAGAAAGACTTAAACGAACAAGACCTTTCGATTTAACACAAAATATTAATTTCCTTATGGAAGGTATTTAATTCTTGTGCGGAGAAACCAAGTTAGCGCAGAGGTAATAAGTGGTCTGTAGGACCAGTTTTATCCGCTCAGAGTTAAGGTGATTCGTGCTTCGAGATTTTTTCACCTAATAGAAAAAAAAAATGTCAGATGGTTTTATTTAAAAAAAAAAATTGTCATCAACAACAAATGTTTTTTCAAAACTTTTTTTCAAAATTAAATTTTCGGTTTTTGATCTAACCAAAAAATATTTGCTTATGTTTGATAAATACTTTGAAATTTAACGTTTATTACTTATTTTGTAAAGCTTTTAAAAGTTTTTTCCAGTTTTCTGTCTGGTTTATTTTTTTTTTGAGTGAGATTTTTTTTTGTTTTTCGAAGAAATTTTGCTATTGTTTCTTTTTTAAAGTTCTTGCAAGTTTTATTACAGACAGACCTATCACGATTGCACATTAAGAAAGTTTTAAATCTTTACATTGTACAATAAGAAAAAATTGAAAAAATCGTTTAACTAATAATTACACGTTATTAACCTATCGTTTTTTTTTACAGGAAGAAGAGCCCTATATTCTGACGTTCATTTTGGTATAACATAATTTGGGAAAAATTTTAGAAATGACATATCAATAAGGCAAAAAACTGGGAACCTTAGAAAATTAACTAGAACAAAGTATTTTTCAAACAAAAATAAATTTCGGGAATACCAGTGAGTCGCGGGCACCCTGTATAGTACATATATGTACATATGTAGATATAGTTTTCCGACATTTCAAATAATTTTAGAAAAGGGACCACGTGACCCTTTCTAAAAAAAAATGATGGCGAAAAATTTCATTGTAATATGTATTCATAAAAATGTGATTCGCTGTTCGAATTTTGTTTCTAAGTATTTTTAAGCACCTGCACTGATGCTATTTGCTGCTTACGTTAATAGTTCAAAAATCATGTATCGTTAGAGAATTCTGCTGACAGATATATGGTACGGGATGAATGATCTTTGCACATTTTCTTTTAAAATGAAGATTTGACAAATAAAACTTAGTTTTTGATTAGATATGAAAACAATAATTTATTAAATCGCTTTAAAATACGTCTTTATTTGAAAAATAAAACAAACATTAAAACGCAACATATTCTGCGATTGAAAAAATAAAATTATTTGGTAGTAATAATTTGGTTTTTACTTTACCTATATTTTACATTAAACTATGTATAACTAAAAATTTAGTACCTAATATTCAAATGTTTTTATTTTTTTGTCTTTTATTTATTTAACATTCTCTCTCTTGCTCATTTTAATTCTTTTTAATTTTTAGATTGTTTATTTTCTAATTTTTTATTTTTAATTAAATAAATATCTAAACTTAAAAATTAGCTACTATTTTTCTTACAATTGATTCATATTATAATAATTGTACAAAATCCTTAAAAATAAAACTAAGACTTAGTTAATTAAAAAGAAGAAGAATGCTGTACACGTAAACAGACTTGCTGATCTATTAATGCTAATATTTTTACGCTGGTAAATTTACAAAAATAACCTAAATCCTAAATTATCCCAAGTTGTTTTTATAAAATGTTTAACTACAACATTTCCTAAGAATTTGGATTAGATACTTTGTTATGAAAACTTCGACGCTAGCGTCATACATACTTTGGTGGTATTGATACCCAGCGAAGTAAATCGCATGGCCAAAATATAGCTCTACATATCCTTTTCACTAAAAAGAAAATAATTTCATTTAAACTTTTTTACTGGTATTTTTATAAAATAAATTGTTTAGTTAAATAAAATAGTTTTTTCTAGTTTTCTGTCTGGTTTATTTTTTTTTAAGTGAGAATTTTTTTTATTTTTCGAAGAAATTTCGTGATTGTTTCTTTTTTAAAGTTCTTGCAAGTTTTATTACAGACAGACCTATTACGATTGCGCATTAAGAAAGTTTTAAATCTTTACATAGTACAATAAAAATTTGAAAAAATTGAAAAATTTTCGCTATAAAGCTTCTCAAAACATTATAGTTATTTTATTCAGTTATCTTCTGCACTTTTTATGAATTCTGTTTAAAGTGTTCTGTTATGGTATGGGTGTTTTTTCAAAACGCTGTTCTTAAGGTTAGAACTGCGAAGCCTTTAAAGCTTCATGTGAAAATTAAGTGCAGACCTTTTAATTAACGATTGATTTACGTTTTGTCCAAAAAAGTCAAGTATTCTTTGGTTTTGATTAAAATACTTGCATGATTTCAAATTCAAGAGAAAATTATTCAATTTCGTTTAATCTCGAACTAAATGCGATAACAGGTGTAGTAAGAGGCATATGCATACAATATGTGCTCTCACTGAGAAAAATTTTATCTAAATTAGATATTTTTCATAATAAGAACAGACACAAACTATATCCGAAATGTATTCCCTAAAACTTTATTTTTATTTTGAATATAATTCAAAGCAGGTTTAGAAATGCAATGTTTTCAAATTAGTGACAATTTTGAACCGTTTATGAAAATAAATTATGTGTATACTTAGAATAAAAAATATTTCTGAATGGGCCACAATAAAAAACATAAAAACGTATCTCAAAAGTGTACACTTCATTTCATATTTCAATATTACTTTATAATATTAATGTGATATATATTTAAGTATAAAAAGTAATATATGAGTAGCTCTTTGGTAGCTGTACTTCATTTACATTTTTATATATTATGATCTAATTTTATGACATATGTATGTACATATACATATATTTACTCTTTAGAGGGACCAGTGAAAACTATTTTATTGCATGTTTAAAAACCTTTAAAACTTAATAAGGAACTTTTTCAGTTCTGATTGATACTAATTGCAATTGGAAGCAGTGTAAATCTTATTTGATATAGAAACATTTTAATGTTAAAATTTTAATGTTAAAATTTTAATACTACGTAGTAATTAGTAACAACCTTTTAAAATCTTCACCAAATTTTCATCATCTTCAAATCACACCAAATTTAAACCATCTGCATTAAATTTTCACTAGTTAATGTTTTAGTAAAACAAAAATATCACAAAACAAATTTCAATGGTGTTTTAATCGAAATGGCAAAAATTTAGATATCATGTTCTGACAGAAAACCTTAGATATGTATGAATTTTACAATCATAATTTCAAATAACAAATACTGTGTTTCTTTTTTGATATTGAGCCTTGATCAGGTCTCGATCTTCTAAAAAGTTTCTAAGAGTGTGCCCCCTTCCCCCCCTATTATACATATTGCTATTTTTTTCTAGTCTAATTCTACATTATTTTTTTTTGTTCTTGTTTTTTACTAATGCAGAAAATATAGTATACAGAAAAGGTAATACATTATACGAGTAACAACGTGTATGTTTGCTGGTGAGGGGGCGACAACTCAGCAAAAACAATTTAAATGTAATGTGCTCGAACGAATGTTCAAGCCGCGCAAGCTCAGCGTAATAAAAATTTTGCTTTGTGATATAATAATATGTGTACGCATGAGTGTTGATTGTTATATTATATATATAAAAAAATTAATTAATAATTGTAATTCTGATGATTCATATCATTCAAAAACTACTTGTGCATTCATATAACAAATAAGAATGAAAAAGTAGTGTAGAGTAACAAAATGTATGAGTAACTTTAGTTATATTAACATTTTTTGTTATATGTTGCGAATGGACTTTGCATATATGCGAGTCCGGGCCTGGCCTTAATATTACAAAACAATTCTGGGCCTTGAACTGTCTTTTTACCGACCGTATTGTGTATACAATAGGTAGATTATGTGATGGCAACAAATTTTGCATATCGAGTTTTCGGAGGGAATGCACTTCTCCATATTAGAGAAGTGTAAATAAACTATTTTTAGCAACGTGTCGGCACGCGTATATCTCAAGTTCGGGTGAACCGATTTTGATGAAATTTTATATGTAAGTTTATTTACACCATGGCACGGATTGATCAACTTTTGGGATAGATCAGGCCTCGGGAACTGCACTTTTTAGAGGGTCTGTTTTACATTTTTGAACATTTTGAAGAAAATATTCAACCGATTTTCTTGAAATTTCATATATAAGCTTTGTTCGACCGTCCGCAAAAATTCCTAACTTTTGGAAGAAATCAGGCATCAGCAACTGGACGTTTACTACGGGCCAAATATACATTTTTGCGTATATAAAGAAAAAAAATCAACCGATTTCTTTGAAATTTAATATTTAAATTCTTCGTATTAAAACAATGAACATAAAAATTTTTTGGAAAGATTCGGGCTCGAAAACTGATCTGCGGGCTGATTTTACATTTTTCACCATATCTACGGAACGAATTGATGGAATTTCTTGAAATTTGATATTTGAGTTCTGGTTGTTACCGAAACTACCTGGCGAGCATTTCAGGGAATTCGAATAGCACAAAGCGAAACTCTAGTAAGAGCCAAATTTACATTTTTTTAGGTATGTTAACTATAAGCTTATTAACGCACCGAAAATTAGAAAGAAGTATTTGACAGACATTTTTATAATATTCTGTAACACTTTCACTTAACTAGACAATACACATTGCGGTCGGTTATGTGCTGATCACATAAGATTTTTTGTAATGTGTTTTATGTGCCCTTTATTCTTTTTTTTTGACTCTTGAATGTATGTGTTAAAACTGTGAATATACTTATAGCAAAATGACATTTCTGAATTATTATTATTATTTTTTTTTTTTTGAAGAAAATGATGATTTTTGCCCATTTTCATTTCGAACATACTATGAAAAACACTAACTAAAACCTAATAATTTTTATATTAAAATGAAAGTTGGTGTTTTGCGATCAACAAATCGAAAATTCAAATTTCAGCTCTAAAATTTAACTATCATTTTGATAAATAATATATTTTAAAGCATATTTTCGAGTTTTTTTTCGCATTTTTTCTTGAACCGCCATCTCAAGTAACTTATCTAGTAGTATAGAAAGTAAAAAATTATAACATAACAAATAAAAAATAATTTGTTTAAAAATATTTTCTAATCTAAAATACACGATATAAAATAAATTTAATAAAAATTTTATTAGATTTTAAGTTAGAATTTAAAACTGTAATTATTGGATTATAAGTTTTAATTATTATTTTAACTATTGTTATATTGCTTTTGCAGTCTTATAATCATTATAACAAATACGTCGCTCGAAATTGCCCCCAAAATAAGAACGAACATACGGGAACGAACGTTCCTGATACTGTAGTTTAGGTAAATCAATGAACTAGACTTCCCAATAATGTGAATATATATCCTAATATAAACAAAATAACATACTTATGTACGTAAGAAGAATTATATGGACAAAAAAATTCACAAACTCTATGATTTTTATAAATCATGAAGCATATTAATTCAATTAATATAGTATACATTGGAAAAATATCTAGATATATATATATGATTTTATAAATATATGATTCAATTTTTTAATAACACAAAACTTTGAGAAGCACCAATAAAATACAAAAATATTGAATTTCAAATTTTTCTTATTAAAAATTAGAAAAAAGTTGATCTTGGGGGAGATTTATGATGTCAAAGAGGGCCCTCAATAACTTTCATAAGAATACGTGTAAGTTCCCCACTTGTGAATTTCTACTCCCTCTTAGGGTCCAGCCCTGCATTTTTGTCAACTGCGGTATTATCTAATTTAATAAAAAGAAATGAGTTTTCATTATTTAGAATGTCAAATGACTGGTGAAATTTTTATGTGCTCTCTATCAGATGATCATGAATCTATAGGTTCGAAATAATAGGTTCAATCAGATGTTTGGATATAATTTGTAAATTTTCTCCTATACGTCTCATTTTTGATTGGTTGAAAAATTTTACATTTGTCTACAGTGTGCTTTATGAACACATTTCAGCGCAACGGATCATTAAAATTTAAAACCCCATTTATTTAAATTGAAAGATTAAAATGTATATAAAAGAAAAAGGAAAAATTATTAATAGTATTTATTCCTGTATTCTTTAATAGTGTTTGAAAAACTTAGAGAGTGGAAAACCTAAATCAAAAATTAAAAATTATACTCATAATAAAATCAAAACTTAACAAAAAAAATCAAAAATAATGCTTATAACAAACAATGAATTTTTTGAAATACGAGTATTACTTTGAACAAAGTTTTAAAAAACTAATTTTCGTTTTTGTCTTTTTTTTTTCCGAAAATTTTAACTGGCAACATGTGGAAAATTTAGTAAAAAATGAGATATTTGAGTACTATGTGTGTAATATTTAGAACAAGAAATAACAAATCATTTTGTATTATATCAGAAATTGTTAATAAATCCCTTCCTAAAACCAAAAGCGATACTTAAACGTACATATTAGAGTTTATTCGTATTACGTTTCGTTTTTGCTGTAAGTTCTTCTTGCTGACTTTTCAGTAGGTCAAAAAATAAAGTCAAATTGATTTTTAAGTTTCATTGACTACCAAAAAGCTTTCGACTGCGTCCAGCAAGATTAATTAATGCAGGTTATGAATAAATTGCTGGCAGTATTACTGAACTAAAACTACTTTTTAATTCATTAAATAACCACAGTATGCTTTTTTGTTTAAATATAAATATTACCAAAACCAAGTTTATGGTTATTATTAAATAAATTATGGTTTTACTAAATTATTAAGGTTAAACTAAATTATTATGGTTTATGGACAAATACATTTAATTATTTAGTTTTGTTTAGTTAATACATTTAATTATTTATTTAGCGTGAATGTCCAAAGTACCGAAAAAGTTTCAAGTTTTAAGTATCCGGGATGTTAGTTAAACGAAGGTTGGAATGGAGATAAAATATGCCGAATTGAATGCGCACGTAGCTCTTTCATAAAGTAGAAAAACATATTTTGAAGTCAGGATATATTTCTCCACAACCTTATTCAGGTATAACAAACGGTACCCCCTCTTGTGGGTCAACGCTAAATACTCATTGAGAATGTGCATCGACCTTCCCCTTTACCACAAGAGTCTGTCTACAAGATCCTTCAGACTTGATATGCTTATTATCTAATTATAATAGCTCAAAAGTTTTACTTGCCAAAGTACAACAAGTTTTACTTGTTTACTTTTTTTACTTGCCAAAGCCCTGAACGCAAATTCCCATAGCTCCAGCATTTTCTCTTTCTCGCTACTTCACACTATATCGGAAAAACACATAATCATATCACCAAAATTTTATATAAAAGAAGGCCAAGATTTATTCGCATAATTATGTACAATAGATAAATCCAGCGAACTAGAATTTTCATTAAGCAACGACATCTTATAAACGATCATACGTATAAAATAATTTAAAATTATTATTATTATTTTTAATAATAATAGGTCTTTCGTATCACTAATTATTATTTTTAATAACAAAAGGTCTAACTTAAGCTAAATTGAACGATATTGCTTTCAGTGGCAAATTTTAAATCAGAAAAAATTTGCAATAATTGTAAAAAATCAAAAAATATTAGCCTATTAGTCAATTAATGTTAGTTTGAAAATTCATTTCTACAAATTTGTTTTTAAAATACAATAATTAGTTTTTCTGGCATTAATATGAATTAATGTCCACTAGGAAAGAGTAAGCTTTGATTTTATTTTACTTGACCTAATTGCGATATGAACTTATAACATACATGTATATTTAAAAAAAATTTGCATTGCAATAAGTGCCTGATTAAAGTACCTAGTAGTCAAACATCCGTTTCAATACTAACTGCTAAAGCGCTGTTGTGCCGCAACTGCAGGTTCCCTACTGGCTGTGTGAATCCATTATGCTGATTTTGTTTATCTACAGATATATTATGTGTTCCTAAAAACGGAACTGGGTGACCAGGGTGATCTATTAAACCTGGTGCTGAATCTACACCATCATCTAAATCCATTATGTCCGATGAGGATTCAGATAATGATGATTTTTTTAAATGTTGACCTTATGCAAAAAATTAGATATTCAAAAAACATAAAATATTTAAATATGGGTATACATAAAGGTACAAATATTCATCACCCACGGGTAATGAATGGTATATAAATATTATAAATGTATTCCCATGTATTACTTAATACAAACCTAATGTTCCTGGCAAGTATGGACAACTTGTAACATGATTGAAATTTTGACTTTGCATTTCTTCTTGATCAGTTTCTCTGTGATAAAAGTAATTAAAGTTACTGACAATAACGGGAACAGGCAGAGCAATTGTAAGCACACCAGCAATTGCACACAATGATCCCACAATCTTACCCCATACACCAACCGGACTAAAAGGAAATATAAAGTAATTAATTCAAATTTGAATATTAGTTTTAATATATACGTCATATCTCCGTATCCTACTGTAGTCATTGTTACTACCGCCCACCAGAAAGCATCCGGTATAGATTTAAAAAACGAATTTTCACTTCCTGCTTCAGCAAAGTATACGGCAGATGAAAATAGAACAACGCCTGTTATAATTATAAGAATGTATTATAAAATACTTCATTTAGAAAAACTATTACAATATGTGTGTTAGCATATTTAAAAGCAATTTATTTCAAACCTATGAATAAAAAAAAAATCAATAATCCTAGCTCTCGCATTGATGCCTTCAATGTACGTCCTAAAATTTGCAGGCCTTTCGAATGCCTAGATAATTTGAATATTCGGAAAACTCGAACTAATCGTATTACTCTTAGAATTGCTAAGGACATAGCCTGATTCGATGACTTATCCTTATTAAAATACAAGATATCAGTTTGTAAAATGTAAAAGTGAAAAATTTATTTTACCTGGGGACTAACAGGTGCTTTTGGAAGATTTAACGTATCTTCCTCTTCGGCGACCACTGTAGCTAAGGTAATAAAATAAGGAATAATGGCGATTATGTCTATTATGTTCATAACGTCTCTAAAAAAATTTAATTTATTCGGGCATGCGAGGAACCTAGAATTAAATGTTATTTACAATTTTTTTTTTCAAATTTTGAAGTTTAAAAAATTAGACTATAATCAATTTTTGAAATACTTATACCTGACACTTAGCTCGAAAGTGAACCATATAATACAAAGAGTTTCTATTAGGAAGAAAGGATCAGTAATATCGGGCACTTCATCTTCTTCAATTTTTGTGCCATTCGTGGTAGTATTGAAAACCTTTAACAAAAAAAAATTTCAAATCACAAATAAGAAAACTAAATTTTTATTTTTTTTTTGGATTTTCAAAAGAAACAAGGCAATTACTTATCTTACGTTATGTAGTTACAATGTAACTATTTTTTACCTTATAATGCTTGAACTCAGGTAATGTTTCTAAGCAAAATATAACAATTGATAATAAAATAACAAATACACTAATTATAGCTACAACTCTGGCTGCTTGAGAACTTTCCGGATATTCGAAGAGTAGCCATACTTTTCTTTGATTTTCGTTGTCTGGTAAAGGTCTTTCCTCTTCTTTAATAAATCCTTCATCTTCCCTATTTTTCAAATAAAATTATTTGAATAAGAAGGAGAGGAATAAATTATTAGACAGAAGATGGATAAGACTCATTTTATGCAAAAAATAGTTAGAAAAATGTGGAATAAATGGCGAGCTCTCCATTCGCCAGACTGAGCCGAGACTTACCTAAATTTATTAATAGCTTGTTCACCTAATTCGTAGAATTTAATTTCTTCACTAAATACATCTAATGGGACGTTTACTGGCCTCCTTAATCGACCACCTTTGGAGATAAAAATATCGAATATTTAATTTAAATGTTATTTATGTATTTGTGAGAAGGACATAACTACCGCTTTGATAATAATATAAGATCGCATCAAAACTTGGTCGATTTCTATCGAAAAAGTATTCATTTCGGAGGGGATCAAAATAACGCAGTCGTCGTGCTGGATCGCCTAATAATGTATCTGGAAACTGATTGAGTGTTCGCAATTGAGTTTCAAATCTAAGTCCGCTAACCTGTTAAAAAATGATTAAAAAACATACGTGTATAAAAACTTGCAGATTGAACTGAGAAACTTTGAAAAAAGAATTTTATACTTTAATGAACAAAATACTAAAAATTTTTGAACAAAGCAAATACAAGAAATTTTTATCAATCCGTTGCTGACAAATGCGTGAAAAACTTATTATCTAAGATATTTACAAATGTATATACATTTTTTAAACATATTTTTGTTGAGCATTTTCCAAAAACTAGAAAATATAATCTGTGTAGAAAATTGGGTTACTTTTGATTTAAATTAGAATAATCTATGATTTTCTTTCAATTTTATATATATTTTATATAAATTTTTAAATTCTTAATTAAAAAAGGGGGAATATTTTAACAACAGTTTGTAATGATTGAACAAGAAAAGAATTTTGTACGATCGTTAAAAATTTGTATTTTTTGAATTATGTTTTTAATTTCTCCATGTAAACTCAAAGGGTGAAAGCTGGCGTCTGAAATAAACTATATATACCGTCACTCTGGGCACACAAACGAGCCGAACAATATGAAAATATGACATGAAAATTATATTGAAATAATATTTAAATTTTGTTTAAAATTTTTAAATAATTTTTCATTTATTGAATTTATTATAATATTCTTTTTGAAAAGAGTTAGCATTTTCAAAAGTATAAATTAGTAAAATTAAAATAATTTTAAGAATATTCCTTCACATATTAGGTATGGGAATCAAGAAAGGTGACATTGTAAAAACTTTAAAAATCTATTATAGATACAAAATATATGCGTTAAATACATATATACATATATATTTTATACATTGGTTAACGTTTACACATCAAATGCTGAAATGAAGCATACACTGATTTTTGGAGAGGTCTGAGTTAAAACATATGACGATGATATTACCTCAAATTTTGTTTTTGCACAGCTTAATTTGCAGAAAGAAAAATTATATCTTCGGTTTTCACCATGTCAGTTTCTTGTTCATGAACCCGTACTCATTTAAGTATCTAGCGTTGATACTTACATATCGTTTCTGGAGGAAAATAAGATCCATTTTTATCACTATCTTAAAAATTATGAGCTATTTGATTTACACAAGATATAAGATAAGCGATTACATTCATGTTGAGCGACATACGTAGAACAATAAAACAGAAATATTTAGTTTATCAACCAATATAAATCATATATAAACAAGCTCATCAGCCACGTATTATTGTGATCTTAAAAGAAAGGCATTAATTTTATTTATTCTAGTGTTTTAACAAACTTCACCAACACATTAAAATTTTTCTCTTGTCTTAGAATCTACTTAGAAAACTTGAGATATTCTGAATTTAATTTGCTTTTTCTAAATTACTTTAATTTTTAACACGCTTTTTCTGAATTCTTCTCTCGAGTGCTGGGGCCCGCAAGATTAATTTCCAAAAGTCTCTCAGAACAATAAATGTGTATATTGCTAAAGGCTTGCAACAGTATTCCATATTTGCCCCAGTTTTGTCGATATTTTATTTTAGTATGACAGGGCTTAAAGAACTGGGAAAATGGCCTTTTTCACTATAATTTCTGAACCGACACGGTTTGTTGTTTTTTGAAACTATCGCGAGATTTTTTTAAAAAAACTTCCCAAAACTTTATGTTATCGAATTAACAGTATATTAGTGCATAAAAGATAGAAATGTTTGAATTACTTTTTAATAAAGATAATTTTAAATTTTCACTTTTCTTAAAATGATTTATAAAAGTCTCATTCATTTACAATGGTCTACCATTGGCCCGATGCATTCGATGTGAACTATAGAAAATTGATCATTCTACTGAAATTTTTCTTATTTCCCTAAATCAAATTTTTTCAGTTTTACGTAAAAACCCTTTTTTACTGAAAATGGATCTAAAAATTTTTTCTGTATTAAGATATCAAACTCGTTTCAACACAAATTTCTCCTTTTCTCCAAATTGCTTGACTTTAGTCGATATTATGAACTTGAAAGTATTGATTTATGTTTTTTTACTTATTTATGTGTTAATACTTACATTTATTACTACCCTTTCACAAAAATCATGGTCATGGGGAATAGGTTCAAAAGCTACTGGGCCTACATTAAAACCTGGACCAGCTCCCCCTTCTTCATCCTGACTGCTTAATTTAGGTAGAGACCTGTAATTAAAAGCAATAATATTACATAATGTCTTAATAATAAAAAACAATAAATAAATATCAATCAAACAGAATTTTAATGTGACAATTTTCAATATCAAATTCTTTAGTTTAAGAGTATATTAAAAGCTGCATAGATCTAATTACCAAATTACATTACCTAATTAGCATTCAAACATACTAAATTAATTATACAAGAAAGTTATAGCAAAACGTGTATTTGTAAATGAAAAAAACATATACATATTTATATAGTATATTCAATTCAAAATCTAGTGTTTTATGAATACCAAACATTATTTTATAATTTGTTATAATAGGAGTAAGTACTTATATTTGTTACTTGTAATAATAAGAGTTACTCTCAAATATTTATATAATATTAATGTATAAATATTTAAAATGTTGTACAGTTTTGACATGAGTTTAACCAATACAATTTGTAAATATATGTATCAGTTGAAAACTAAATTAAAATTTTAGAATAGAGTTGCAAAATTTATTATGTTATTCATAAACCGCCACAACATTGCTGTAAATATAAAGATTTTAGGAAAACATCGTTTGTCATAAAAAATTAGTTTTTGCTACAATAGTTCAATGGTTATGAGGGATATACTATTTATTTTATCCGGATTACAGGTAATACGTATGAGTTTTTTGTTTAATATCAATAAGGCCTGAAAAGTTTTAATTTATTTATACGTATATGTATGAATACAAAAATCACAAACAATTGCAAATTAAAAAGTGAAATTTCAAGTATAGATTTATAAGTATCTAAACGTTGTAAATACACTGGATAAATAGGAATTTCGATTTTAAGTATAACGTCCTTTCGACTTGATTTGGACAAATTATTTTCTAGAAGTTTTAAGTTTGAATTGTTTTTCTCAAATTAATGACTCTATGAAATTTTTAATTACATTTCTCTTAAATGCATGTAGAAAATATTCATAAATTTACAATTTTGAGCTATCTTCAAGGAAAGCACATTGACGATAATATGGCTAATAAAGTCACCATCGGTTAATACTCATTCTAATCGACAACAATTGACGGTGATTAACTGTTATTAACCCTACTCTCTATTGGTCATATAAGCAGTAATAAAAAAAAATAATATTCTATTAATCAGGTTCGCCATTAATTCATGGCAAACTTCTCTGTTACTTTAGTTTAAGTAGAGTGCTAGATACAAAACACTAAATAAATATAAATAAATAATAATATACTATCATTTACTTACGAAAACTACAAGTAAAAAGTGTATCTAAATAGCACATTATGTTGAAAAATAAATTATTTTATACTTTTGATCTATAATTTTTTGGACATTATCTCTCAAGTTCTTCAGCAATTTGTTTGTTAACAAACACATACACGTGTTTATATAATATTACATACATATGTATATGTTTGTTATTATATATTTTTTTGTTACGTATATATTTAATTACATATACAATTTGTGGATTGATTAGGTATAAAGTTCGATTTACGATTTATCTACATAATATTTCTAGCCAGATACTTGTAAATACAAAAGTTTTGATAAAAAAAATTGGAACACGGTAGAAGTACTACTATGTTGTGTACAAGTACATATTTCGTTGATACTTTGAATTAACAATTCCTCAAAATTGTGTTCTGGTGTAACTGTAAAAGTTGTAAATTGAAAACAAAAAAGATTATATTAAAGTATTAAGATAAATTTAGCAATTTGAAAACCTACTATAGAAAGCATAACATGCTTACCTTTCCTTGAGAAGAGGGGGCGAAGCGTTTGATATATTTTCACCGCTTATCCGAGATTCCTTTCTTGGTCCTAAAACTGGTGTCAGGCCCCATTTTTCAATAAAATCTATTCGAGAAATGATTATTATTGCACCAAGATGATTTTGAAAATACTAGGTATTAATTTTTTTCTAATTCTTTATTCACATTTCATTTCAAACACTTCCCTTTTCGATTTATTTTTCTTTTAACGTTAAAACTAATACGTGTTGTTAATATCTAAATTATAAATAACATATGTATATGTGTATATGTAAAAGTATATGCATGTCATATATTATATATAATAATAGGTATATACATACATGCATGTAAATGGATTTGTGTATATTTAGTGTATATTAGTGATACATATGTAGATACGTACATGACAAATTTGAAAAAATAAGTTCTTTTCGAAAATTTATTAATGTTTTGTGACGTTATCCAGAAACTTTTTTCTAACATTTTCGTCAATGATCCTTAAACAAAGCGAAAACCGTGTTTGAAGTCAGAATTTTAATTATTTTCTTAAAGTCTGTTGTTATTTCTTTCATTATAAGTATGATCAAGGTTAATATGTGGTGAAACGGTTTCACTGTCACAGTTTATTAACTTAACGTAATTGAATTTTCAAAAGAAATTTGTATTTAATTTGAGGACTAACAATTATTCAAATTGGTATGGGAAAAGCCGTATAAATTTATATTTTACGTTTGAATTACTCTTTTTATTTCACTGAAAATAATTTTTCTAAATATTTTCAGAAGAAATCTATTAAATTTTTCTTTTGTATAAGATTAAAATGTTTATTAATGAAGTTTGGAATTCACTTTTTGAATTCAAAAAGGAATTTCAATTTTTGAATCATAAAGGAAATTCATTAAAAAGAAATTCGTTCCTTTAGGACGAAATTTCTCGTTATCAAAAATGCTTGGAAAAAACTTTCTTGCTTCGTCATCTCAATCAATTTGAGAAAACAACCTTTTTGCAAAACAAAACACAAAATATATAAATATTTTTAAAATCATTGTATTACTATATTCTGTTGAGTATAATGTTTTTTTTACACTCAACAGACTTGTTTTCCTCCTTGTGACAATGTGGGTAATATTTACTTTAATAATAATGTGATAATATCTATTAATTTTCAGACATATTTAAAAATTTAATGTGGAGAATGAAATAAAATATTAAACAAGGAAATATGGACAAAACGATGTCTTAAAGAAAAACAAATAATTTTCAAAAATTGAAAGAAAATCGAATTAAATCAAAATGATTCGATTTATCATTAAAACATTATTTTATTAAATTAAGATACATAAGTGTAATATGGACATGTAGATAATACACATAGAAGGTTGAGGTCAAATTTCTAACATTTTCATATTCAGAGAAAAATGTTATGAGCCCTTTTATTTTTATTAAATATGTATATAAAATTTGTTTTAAATAAATTTATGATGTGTGCATAAATGCACATGCATATAACTAGATAACATTTCCATTAATATACATATAATTCTACACTTGCATTGAATATAGTTCTTTATGTTAGAGTTTCTATTCTGCTAAAAAATTTTCAATTTGCTTATTTAATCTTTAACAATTTTATAATAGATACAACAATACAAATTTATATAGGAATGAATTGCATACATATGCATACGTAGGAATAAAATTATGTACGAATTAGGTTTTTATTTATATAAAAAAGTAAAAACTTACCAAATAAATACTTATATTTTATACGTTGATGGATTGAAAAGCTATCTAGGTATGCCAAAGGTTACATTACCAACAATAAGTTTGAGAAAAAAGTTAATTTTTGAATTATGGGCTACGAAATAATTAGCTAATCTAAATCGTACTTATTTTTTCTAATATTATTCAAAATAATATTGCAGGGCTTAAGATTATAAAGTTTCATAATTTTTGTTTGTTGGTATTTAAGTTTATAGTTATGCAACTACTTCATGAAAATGGCAACATTTTCCTTAATTATCTAAAAAAAAGATTAGAAGAACAAAATATGAAATTAGTTAAGACTTTTATTTTAGTGAAAAAACAAAACGACTCATTATACATGAAAGCATTTAATATGTACCTAATGTGAGAAAAAGAAAATGTATGTAGCTGTAAGGATAGGAAACAACTATTAATTTAGAATGCGTGTATGTACATAATATACGGGGTATACCTTTCTCTAGGCAGGTATATTTATAGAGGTATACACATACCACTTTACTAATTAAAAGAAAAATATTTAGCCTATAATTGTTTAGAAGTTATAAATGATTTTTTTTTAAATATTTTCGTTTTTCCAACCGAAAATTGCATAAAATTAACAATCTAAAAAAATTGTATTCAAACTTAGAATTTTATAGATTGCATATTTTTTACTTTAGATTTAAATAAAAATATAAAATGAATTTAATTAAAAATTATGCAATAAATAAACTTTTATGCAATTAAATGTTTTTATATCATAGAAAATATGAAATTTTTAATTGCAAGTATGTACAAGTATATGATCGTAAATAAAATAAATAGATAGATGAAAAGTAAGGATTTCAATCCTTAATATTATGGCATTGTACATAAGGATATTTATTATATTCAACATATGTATGGCGGTATTTTTGCTAAATAGGACATAATTATGTATTTTGGATAAGCGTTCGCATATTTTTTTATGTATAAAATGTACTTATACATATTCATTAGTTAATGTGTGTAAATACATAACGTTTATTCACTCACACATGCAGGCAATTTCCTTTTTGTAGTCTTTTTATGTATAATAATCCTAAATTAAAGATTAGATACAGAAAATTTTGATTTCATGTTATATTCGCCCATTTCTTTTGTTGGCTCTCGAATATTTTAATATAATTATTTTCAAATATTGTATACAAAGCATCATTTGCTTTGAAAGGATTTTTAAAAACAATTTAAAATGTAAATAATTTTGCTTTAAATCTATGTACATTACCAGTTGTTAAAAGTTGAAAAGTAACAGAAGTTGTAATAGAAGAACACATCTATGTTTATAGCATACGTCAATGGAAGTTTGGTTTTTCATATATAATTCTCAAATTCTGCATTGTTAATTATGTGTACGTTATGTATGCTATATTTATGTGTATATATGTGTATACGTATGTGGAATTATTGTTTTAATGTATATATACGTGTATGAATTTACATTCATATACATA